AGATTATGACCTGGAGAACAAATAATAAGTGATGCATCAGTGCACGATAAGGACAGTTTTGCCTTCAGAAGCAACTCTGAACTAAAATCAGTTGCTCTTGGTCTGAAGGCCCTCCTCGCCAATCACCTTGAAGTGCTAAAAACAACCCCCCCAACCCCCATACCAAAAAAAATAAAAAATTACATGTAAATTATACATATAGAGAAAATGTTGCTAAATTAAAATCGAATTTCCAGCACAGTTAACGTGATCAAAAGATTTTAGATGATGTTGATTAATACAAAACAAATTCTCAAATCCACAAAAACCACCACTTCTCAAATCCTAAATTTTCTCTATGTACTAATTTTAATCCAAATAATTAATTTTTGCATATATTAAATTATGGGAATTAATTTGATCATTGTACCAAGAAACTAATTAGTTCCTTCTTCATCCTTATTATCCGCTTCGAAGTATTTAAAGTAGTTTTGTGCGTGCCAATTAAGGTCATAAATGAAAACAAAATTGGGAGTTTGAAATATAAAAGAGTATTATATTACCAGAATTTTGCTATTAAATGAGTTTTAGGGTTATAAATTTTAATTGTATTATTTAAGAGTATTGTTACATTTCAAATAAATTATAATATAGCTTAAATGGAAAACTTGGTCAATGGTAAGGTAAAAGAGGTATTTATTCAAATGATGAAAAAAACTTGGTGAGGATTATCAAGAATGTTTTAATCTTTGACTTGATTAATAAAGAATACTCATAATTATTAAAAAATCTTCAAAACCTCCCTATATATTTCAGTCCAAGTCATGAGGAGACTCCTCGACAAAACCTCACTATAATTAATTTGTTTAAAGTAACCAGTAATATCTTCAGCAATTTGGAGAAGAGCATTAACAAAATCCTGACATGACTTTAGTGAAAAGAAAGCGAAAATCTTTCGGGATGTTGATTTGATGGAGTTTGCCAATCTTTTCTTGCAAGTTTCAAAGAAATATTAGAAAATCTTTGTAAGAAAACAAGTACATGATAGAATTCTGGTCTGTGGTCGGATAGGAATTTGTACAAGAAGCAAGCAAACGAAAATCTAGCATTAAAGATAACATGTAGCATATGTCAAGCTATCTTGACATCCAAGATGTTAAACCTTTGCATATGTTAATCTTGTGTAGTTGTTGTTATTTTTAAAATATTTTTTATTTTAAAATATATAAAAATAATATTTTTTATTTTTTAAAAAATTATTTATAATATACGTATATTAAAATGATATAAAAACATCAAAAAAATATTAATTAAAAAAATAAAATTTTTATAAAAATATTTTATAAATATAAAATTAAATCCTTTTTAACCATGTCCCAGCTAGCTTTCAACATCTTATCATAAAAAAACTATAAAAATTCAAACTATGTCAGCTAAAAACTAAACCTGCATAATCAAGTTAAGTTAAGGACCCACGAAAATGCATAACAAATGATAATATCTAAAATAAAATCAACTCTTGTGAATCAAGATCAAATAAATAAGGAAGCTTGGAAAAATTAAAAAACAAATTAAAAAAAACATTATAAAAAAATAAAACGGGGATGAAAAGTAGACTTCCAAATCAATCAAGTACCCTGTTGGGAATTAAATTAAAATCCAACCTTTTTTATCAATTTTCTTTAAGAAAATTGCTTCAAATAAAAAAACGAAGGAAATTCAAGCAGGGGGTGGGTAAGAAAAACAAAACACTCCCATATAGCTTATGCAAAAAAAGAAAAAAAAAAGAAATTGGCAAATATTTGGTGGACCCCTCCAGGCTACCTCTTGGATATTTCAATCACTTTGAATGAAGTAAAAACATACTATTTTCTCATTAAAAAAAAAAAGAAAAAAGAAAAAAAGCCTAGATGGCCATGAAATTGACATAGCTTTTGAAGAAAAGGACCCCCGAATATGCACGGCAATTGGCAACCAGCTTATTCCCAGTTTCTCTTAACTATAAACAAAAATATCAGCTTTTCACCGTATGAATTCACAGCGAAAGGCTCATGTTGTTTTGGGTGGGCAAGGGTGGCATTAGAGGTATATGGGTCTTTTTTATAGAACTTATTAGTAATTATGTTAAAGAAGGGTATTAATTATTAATTTCATGTGTTTTTTATAGTGTAATTACTAAATAATCCTTAATAAAAATATCTTTCATTTAGGGGCTTTTCGGGTTTTTTACTCTCTTTTTTGTGTCAATTACTTATATGTATCTAAAAAAAATAAACTTTCTACTATAAATGAAAAACCATTTTAGGTTTTTTGCTATAGTTTTTTGGTAATTCTGATGTAGGGCTAGGGTAAATTTTGTATTTTAAAATTTATAAATTAATTTTAAATTTAAAAAGTTATTGGCACTTGTTATGAGTCATGCTCGCTCACTTCAAGTGGCATGTAAGACACCCACATAATGTTGAATGTCGTTGTCTGAGGTGGTATTCAATGCACCTCACCATCCCTGTTATTATAGTGAGGCGCGTGTTAGCAAGCATCACAAGGAAGGGCACCGACAAGAACTTTTTCCCTTTCTTTCTCTTTTCCCTCTCCATGTAAATTAACATGTTGGCCATTGCAAGAAAACAAAAAAGTCTAGCTATTTGTTTGTTAAGTTAAATTTAATTTTTATTTTTTTGATTGTAATGTATTTGATCTTGAATCAATTATTGAGTTAATTTATTTTTTTAATTTTATCACTTGATAATTTATTTTTATATCAGGTTTGATCTTTATTTTTTTAATTGTAATGTATTTGGTATTGGATCATTTATAAAGTTAATTATTTTTTCAATTGCATCCCTTTACACTTTTTTTTATATTAGATTGATTCTCATTCTTTTAATTATGATATTTTTGTTTTTGAATCCTTTATTGAATTAATTTTTCTTTGAATTTCATCCCTTAACATTTTATTTTTATATCAAATATGATCTTTATTTTTTTTATTGTTATTTTTAGTTGTTCTTATCGTTTTCTTAATTAAAATTATTTTTCAATTTCATCATTAATGATTTTTTTTTTATCAAATTTAGTTCATTTTCTTTTCAAATCTATATTTTGCAAATTGTTTTTTAATTTATTTCTTCATATTTATCCTTAATTATTTTGGTTGATTTATAATTTTACATAGTTATATTATTTATTTAGTTTTTTATATTATGATTTGGCCTCATGATGTGTGTTACAAATTTTAAAGGTTAGATCGTGTCCACTTCATTTATTTTTAATTATTTCTAGAAATTTCTTTCATCATCATTGAAATAGTTGAAAATTGATTTTGTTTATTTTCTTTATGTTTTAAATTCTTTTATGAATTTTTTTTTTAATTCTTAACTTCAATTCAATAATTTTTTTATATTTAAAGTTTAATATGATATTACTCATAGGTTTTAACGATTTCACTTAATTTTATTAGTGATTTGTTTTTCAATATTTTTTTGATGAAGTTTTTTATATTTTTATTATTTTACAATTTGATTCATAACATATAATTATTATTTTTAGTTATCTTTCTATTATATCAAGTTGTGACTTTTTTTCACTTTTTAAAATATAATAATAACATTTTAGCATTTTTTTTTTTAACTATAAGGAAATTAACCCGACCATCGAAGGAACATTAGCCATCAATCTAGTTCTAATCCAAAAGAGGATGGAGTGTAAGGAAATAAGATATTTGCGCTGCTTTGTGGACCGCTGACAGGTTCAAACGAGACTTGGGGCGGAGTCATTTTCCATTAATAAGACCATCAAGCTCACCTTCTTGTGGGGTCAGCCAAAGGTTACAGACAAGATGGGAGGCATATCTACGCGTCATTAAATATGAATAATCTCAAACATAGAATTTGGTTTAGTTAAGGTTGACCCTACAAGCCCAAACGGTTCTTGTACAATTGGAAATGGCTTTTGTGATTGTGTCCTCCTAATTAGGACCTCATAAGCAATATAACTCATACGATTTAACATGAACAAAATTTACCAAACTCCCATTGAAGTTTCGAAATAAAATTTTGCAATCATTCTTGTTGTGATAACAATTAGAATGAATTTTTATGTTTGAGTTACATAATCAGTTAATTTCTTTCATTTAAAAAATTCAATATTGAATTTTTATTGTTCGTAATTTAGTTTTTTAATTGATTTTTTAAAAAAAAATGTCTTTCATTTCTAATCAAACTTTCCCAACACCTATAATTTTAGAAAAAATGTTTCTTAAAACAAATAAAAAGGTAATCCAGAGATTTAATAAAAAAACTAGAAGGACTAGCTTGCAGAATTGTAAGCGATCGAGGGACTAAACTATTGCTTAATAATTTTCCTTCGGTAAATGGGTTAATGGGATTGTAATCGGTCATTAATACCATTGGAAAGTTAATTTTGAGTTCCGAACAAGAACAAAGCCCTCTTCTTAATTATCAACCCTAATTACCCAAAATTCCCACACAAATAACCTTATGCTACATTGGGTTCGGTCTAGCCCACTACTGTTCTCCAAGATATCGTCACTTTCATAGGATTTACTATTTATAGAGTTTTTAAATTTTTTTTATAATTTAAAAGCTATATTTTTTTTATTTTCTAAGAGAAGAATATAGTATAGAAAAAAAAATTAGTATTTTAAGATATAACAATCATCATCTTCTAAAAAAGTTTAAGAGATTTCTCTTTAGTAGTTTATAGGTGGAATACTTTAATAATTCATGGTTTATGCTAACTTAATCTTAAAACAAGTATTAAAAAATAAAAATAATATATGATTTTCAAGTATTTTTTTTATAAATCCTCAAATAACTCTAAATTTATTTATCAAAATTCTTGAAAATCCTAAAAATTTTTAAATTTATCATTTCTAGAAATCTAACATTTACAACATAGATTGTACTGTGAAAATTCTATTGAAAAGGACATCCTGATTAATAAAAAAGGCAGTACTGAAATTCAGAGCATAAATTTTTAGATGTATGCATGTTGGCAAATAAGAAAATTTAGAAAACTATTTGATATCAATACACTTAAAGCAACAATAGAATTCTTGACTTGGTATTTAGTCCCATGTCTAGCTCTATCAAGCATATAGCTAAGCGATTTTAGACATTACTCATGTGGCTGTAAATTTGTCCATAAAATATATAATTAAAGCAGAGTCTATTCTTATTTTTGTGGATAGATCACAGAATCACATAAAGCTACTTTGTTAATTCATGAGACACAGACCATTCTTTTCATACTATAGTGATACAATTTTATGTTAATGATGTTGTTGTTGTTGAATATGGAATTAACCTTGGAGGAGAAGACAGGAAAGGCCTTGGTGGAATCTTTAATGCTCCAATAGGTCCTTCCAACATTTCTAACACTTTACTCATGGATGGTCTATTAGCTGGATTTGTCTAGATGCACCACAAGCCAACTATTATTATTTTCCTCACACTGTCAGCTTGTTTTGAAGTAGGCACCCCATTAATTTCTGAAGTAGGCTCCCCATTAATTCTAGATTCATCATCTACCTCAAGATGCTTATAAATCCATTGTGGAAAATATTTTTCGCTACAAGAAGTGATTTTAGCTTCATGATTCTTTTTGCCTCCAACCATTTCCAGAACCATCATTCCATAACTATAAACATCGGACTTGTATGAAACTTGCCCAAAATTTCTACTAAACATTTTTGGTGCTATATATCCAATGGTTCCTCTTGCCACCATTAACGATACGTTGCTCTCCCTCCTAGGACATGATTTTGCGAGTCCAAAATCAGATATCTTAGGGGGAAAATCTGTGTCGAGAAGAATGTTATGAGGTTTGATGTCAAAATGCACAATCCTTGTATTGCACCCTCGATGCAAATACTCAAGCCCTCGAGCAACGCCGATTACAATTTGGTACAATTTTTCCCATCCTAGTTGTTGACTGGCTTGAAAGGCATTTTCATGATTTATGAACTTCTCTAAGGATCCATTAGGCATGAAGTCGAAGATAAGAACTCTTTTGTCATGTTGCAAACAAAATCCTAAGAGAGTGACAATATTAACATGGGAAGTTCTACTAATACTTGCTACCTCATTTATGTATTCTTCCCCATTCCCATTTGAAGCTGCCAGGACCTTCACTGCCACTAAATGGCCATCTGTTAGCCTTCCTTTGTATACAGTTCCATAACCTCCTTGACCAAGTTTTTCTTTGAAAAAATTGGTCATTTTCTTGACATCTGAAAAACTGTATCTTTTCAGAGGTAAAGGCACATGATTTTTTATCAAATCCTCAAGATCTTGATCATCTTTCTTCTCTAAAAAAATCGGTAGAGCAATTGATGAGGCCTTCCTTCTAGAATAAAGAATGATACAGATGATTAAAATTCCTGCTGATCCAGAGGCAACACCTGTCAATTGAGGAAAGGGATGGATTACTAGCAGAGGTGATGTTATCACAATATACAAACAACAGCAAAAGCAGTAAAATGATATTTTAATTAAAATTGTTAATTTTAGAGGTAAAGGTGAACTTTCAACATATAAACTAAGAACTAAGGTAAAGAATTAATGGTAGACCAAGCACAAGCACTGCAAAATGATACTTATTTAAACATGTTTTTTCTAGCCTAACCTGTCTGACAAAGTAGAGATAAACAACACGGGGACATTAAATAAAGAAATTTTAAGTTAGAAACTGATCCCACTCATTATCATGATTTGAAGGCTTCACAGATCAACTGATGAGCATTCTGAATGCTAGTTTCGTTAACAAGATATTGAAGTGGAAAGATGCCAATAGTGACCAAGGAAACAAATTAGAAATATGTTAAGGGATTATCTTACCGATAACAGTAATTCATCGCCTGTCTTTCAGATTATGACCTGGAGAACAAATAATGAGTGATGCATCAGTGCAAGATGAGGACAGTTTGCCTTCAGAAGCAACTCTAAACAAAAAATAGTTGTTCTTGGTTTGAAGACCCTCCACAGCAATCACCACTTCTCAAATCCTAAATTTTCTCTATGTACTAATTTTAATCCAAATAATTCATTTTTGTATATATTAAATTATGGGGGTAAATTTGATAATTGTACCAAGAAACTAATTAGTTCCTTTCTCTTTCATTCTTGTTATCAGCTTTGAAGTATTTAATGTAGTTTTGTGCTTGCCAATTAGGGTCATAAATGAAAACGAAATTGGAAGTTTGAAATATGAAAGAGTACTATATTACCAGAATTGTGCTATTAAGGAAGTTTTAGGGATATAAATTGTAATTGTATTATTTAAGAGTGTTATTACATTTCAAACAAATTATAATAGAAAGTAAATGACAAACTTGGTCAATGATAAGGTACTTTTGAAGAAGATATTTATTGAAATGATAAAAAAAAAACTTGATGAGGATGATCGAGAAGATTTTAATTTTGACTTGATTAATAAAAAATACAACACTTTGCAGACTAATTCATGAGGAGACTATTAAAGAAATAAAGAATACAATACTCAAGATTATTAAGAAATCTTCAAAACCTCACCATATTTTGCACTTCAATTCATGAGGAGACTCCTCAACAAAACCTCACTATAATTATAGTTTGTTCAAAGCCACTGCCAATATCTGAAGAGGAGCATTAACAAAATATTGGCATGGCTTCAATGAAAAGAAAGGGACAATCTCTTGGGATGTTGATTTGATAGAATTTGTCAATAT